TTGCATTTAGAACAGCATGTGTTGCTAGATAACAGATCTCCTACTGAATATATTTCCACTACCTTTCCTAGTATTTGGACCAGACTTGTTGATAAACGGCCCATTTTCAAAAGCACTACATATTGCTTCATCTTTTGCATTTGTAGCACCTAATTTAGGGATACATATCCATTCCATCTGCAATATTAAATGGGTGATCTGTGAAATAAAGAACCCTGCTTTTCTTCAGTATTCATAGTTTCTTCGATGTATAACAATGGACATGTGCCATTTTTTTATTATTATTATTTTTACTTTTTGCAGCGGGGGTCAGAGGATATACATCTGTCTCTGGTGTGGCTTCTCTGAAAATTGTGACGTGGTCTTCCTTGTCCTGGGAAAATATGAATGAGGGCTCAGTCCTCCTCTCCTGACTCTTCTAAGGAAACATGTAAGAACTTGTACCTTTGGGACTGTTACCACTCTGTCAAAGCTTTTTGAAGTTGGCCAAGGGGTCCAAATGTCTATGGTGAAGTAGGAAGGGAAGGAAGGGGAGAGAAAACACAGTTTCCCCAACTCACTCACACATTTTTTTGCGTTGTTCCTTTTGCAAATGAGCAGTTGAGAGCTCCTAGGTGCAAATGTGAATGTGACTCTCTAGCCCTGAGGTTACGCAGTCACCTAAGGAAAGGTTTTCCAAAGATGGTTGCTGCACCGTGTACTGCAAGCTCTCCTGTTAGGTGAGTCAGTCCCAAGCAGGTCTCTCAGACTGTCCTTGATGCATGTCTCACATGATCTGGGCAATCGCTTAAAAGTGGCCAGTGCTTGAAGAGTCTCTGTGTGTGTGGGAGGAGGGGCGCTGCTGTACATGGGATCTCTTTGTCATATCTAAGTCTACTTCAAATGTGATGCTTAAGGAATGTTTCTGAGTGGATGACAAACCTTCGAGCAAGGAGTGTTAGCACTGGCAGAATTTCCCTTGTGCACCTAACTGAACACCAAATAAATTGTTTCAACATGCTTCAGTCTATTATGTTCAATATTGCTCTACTTTTGCTGTGTGCAGAGATGATCGAAGAAAGTGTGGATTTCCATTTTACTGTTAACTTGCTTTTAATCCTCAGTGTAACTTCCACACATAGTCCATGTTTATGAACTTCCAACACTGCATCTTGCAACAGGCCAACCTCTCTCAATTTTACATGTTCTTTTTCACTCTTGATGTTGAATAGTTTGATCTGGAGTCAAAAAAAAAACACACTTATGTTTTATATTAAGTATGGTTGACAAATTCTAATATTAACATCAGTAAGTTTCTTGCTAAGGGCAATTGGACAGAGTAATATTATCTGTGTTGAAGAGTTTGGCTGGGTAAGGGACAGAGGGCTTATACTGAAAGATCATATTGCTGAAAAGTTTGAATGACAGCCTCAATGGAAAATGCATGGAAACTGGAAGTCCAGTTCTGCCCTCTAATATTGAAAGGTTTGTCCTGCATCTGGCTTCCAATTCTCAGTGACTATTTTCAGTAACCATTTTCAGTGATTTGAAATGAAATTCATTCTTTTCTTTAATCAAGTTTTGAAACGTACATTTGGATATTGAGAAGGCTTTTTGCTTTAATCAAATCATAGTCTCTCATTAGCTGAAACACACACTCACTAACAAAAGATCAAAGGGGATGGATAAGAAAGAACTTTGCTGTTGAGCAGTACATTTTTTCCACTAGTATTCATAGAGATGCACTATCAGGGTATATGAAAAAATATATGCAAGAGCAAACTTATCAGTCTGAAAGTCAGTGAATCAGAAAGCATTAAGAAGGCACTTGAGAATGGTGTGATGAGCTGCTAGCATTATATAAAATTGCTTATTACATATCTTGGTCATGGCAAAATATTAGCACTGAAGGTCAGCTCATTCCTGGTGTAAGTTCAATACTAATACACTTGTTAAATGATGTAGCAGCATTTGTAAGAGACACAAAACTGTAAAAGTCAGCTTTAACAAGGTTTGTAAGAAACTTCTGAAATACTGAAAAAAGGGAACTGTAATGATATTTGATGTCAATAAATACAAAGCAATGACCACTGAGAGAAGACTGCATGGCTCATAGACCATGGGTCATCTAAGTTGCTTTTTAATTGTATCAGTTCAGCAAGAGTCCAGATATAGTTTGGACAACTCGGTAAAGACTTGGCATTAATGTGCAGCAGCAGTTAAAACCAATCAACTAACACTCTTACTGCATTTCCCCCAAGCCTCCAATGAAGCTGGGGCGAATACAGAAGGACTGAAGATGCCACATGATACCATATTGGAAATGAGTGATTCTCTCATATGCAAAATATCATATATATTCTTGGAACATCATCTCCAAACAGATAAAAAGATATTTGAGGCAAGGAAATACTTTATGAAGTACTTTTTGAAATACTTTGCTCAAGGTGGGAGGCAGGGAGCACTTCTTGACCTACATGTGTGTATGATCCATTTCTTTTATGTTTTGATCATACACATACATATCTGTTATATAATGCAAATAGCCAACAGCAAGAAATACTGTTTCACACAACATCCTATTATTCCATAGAAATCATTGCCAT